ACAAAAAATAAATATATATAGTATGCTCAAATATAGTTAGTTTCTTATTTAAAGCTAATGCAATTGCTAGCTTATTCTCAAATATTAAAGTGTTTTTATTTAATATATTTAGATACTAGTATTGTGGTACAAGTTGTATATAGAATTTTGCAGCCTCTAAAACAAGTATTATTATAAAAAAATAATAGCATACAAGATCATAATTTATCAAGGACAGGTATGTGCAAAGATGTATAATGTTATTATAAAGTACAATATAATAAACACTTTTTTTGTCCAATATACAAACATGCTAAATTTTACTAATTCTTGAGAAATCAATACCACCTATCAATTCTTCCAATTCAATTATGTTTATATCGAACATGTTCTCTGAAAACATTTCATTCAGTGGTTTAGTACTAACATATAAAAAATAGTATAATATTAGCTTTAATATTAAGTTGTTAATACAAAAATAGTTTATTCTTATATAAGATCCAAGTTTATAATTTATTTCCATTATATTATACCAATAATGTATGCTAAGGTTGATTTCATTTTGTTGGAGTTTAAGAATTGCTGGTATTAAAATTTTTGACACAATACATCAACTTTATTGAAGTTTTTATTGTATTAGCTTTCTTTTTGATTTAAAAAAAGCTAACTAATAGTCTCATTAATGTGTGTAAAGCAACTTTTTCTCTCTAATATTCTTTTGATATTATATTTCAGCTCTAAAAGAGTTGATATACTGTTTAATTAAGCTTTAATGATAGTATTATAAGACTTTATATGCTGAGTACTTTGAACTCCAGCATTAAAAGAACAGTGAGTAAAGCATAAAGTTCAGGATTCTCAATATTAATATAATTGATCTTGCAGATAAAAAGCATGCTATTTATTATATAATACTTTTCTATTAAGAGTCTATCTTATCTATAGGAGTAGTATTAGTTAATTGATTATGTCTTTTTATGTTTTTTTAGGATTTTCTGACCATATATTCATGGTAAAAATTATATAATAAATGGCATGCCTCTAACTAGAGGCATCGGTATATTTGCTTAATAATGTATTTTATTTTTTTTCAAAAACTGATTCAATATAACTATTTCTCACATGATAGAAATCTTTAAAAAAACATCTTCTAGTTATTATGGTATTTGCCAAGAAAATGGTTTTTTAAATTTTTTTTAATATGAGACAAGCAGAAATAATACTTGGTAGTTGGCCAAAAACTGCTTGCTGCTACAACTATTGCAGAGTCAGAATCAATAAATAATAAATAAGATGCCAACTCTCCAGTTGTTTTAAGAATACATAAGAATAACTACATATATGTATTTTTAGTTTTATCCAAAACAATAGCAGTTATGGCAAGACAAGAATAGTTATGATTATCTATCAGAATTATAACACATAATATCATGGAATAATGATTCATTTTTGCTATAGAATTAAGCAAAACAATATCACGAAATCATACCTACAATTGCTATTGATCAGGATTTATTCAAAAAAGCTATGTGAGAGAGTTATCTTTAGAGATGTTAATGGCTGGCTTGGCTAAGCTTGGCTCAAAAAGCTATGGCTCAAAGCTCAAACCATAGCTTAATAACTATAGTTTAAACTATAGTTTTAAACTATAGCTTGAAGCTAACTATAATATTTAAAAAAAATTTAAAAAATAAATATTTTAATTTTTAATAAAAATACAATATATTGAATTAAAATTTTATAAATTCTAAATCAACATGTGTTATAACAAAAATAAATCTAATAAAGTATATTGATTAGGCTATATTAAGTTAATTTTTTGGTTCTCATAATATAAAATAAAAAAATAACCCACTCACCTAGATTTTTATTTAAAAATTTTTAGAATTTTTTAAATTATAAAATTAAAGTTTTATTTTTATAAAGCTATGACCTAGAAATACATAATAGAATTTTGGTAAATCTATAACAATAATAGTGAGAATTCCTGTTTTATTGTATATAAAAAATAAAGTTAGTTTTAACTAGGCATAAGACTAGACAGACTTTTAGACTAATTAAATATAAATTATTATATATTGTTACCTATTTTATTATTATAAACTCCATCAAATTATTAGCTTATTATTCGATTTATTATATAAAAGCTACTTCTAAACTAGAGATATGATCCATTATCCATTTTTCTATTTAAGGATTCTTTATAATAATTTTGTTATAAAATTAAATTAGATTGCATCTTTAACTCTAAACAAACATTCAAATCTATTTATGAAAGCAATACATGCACTTAGTTTTATTAATTTTTTATCCGTGTTGATTTTGCTAAACAATTTTTTATTTAAGTTGATTCAGTCATTATTATTTATTAATCAAAATATTTGAAATACTCTATGAATCTATTATTAATTTCTTATTCATGCTAATATTACTTAATTTTCTGAAAATTTATATACAAAGTATATATTGCTTATAAATTTTAGTCTTATCTGCAAAGTGCATCTACTAATGTTTTCCATCAATCTGATCTTTAATTTAAATGAAAAAAAAGAATAAGATCAATATATGAATCATAATAGTCAAATTACTAGAGATATTTGAATATCTAATAAATATTCAATGAATTTATCTGGATATTAATTCAATTTTTTAACCAATATATATATATTAAAAAAAGTTGGTTTTAATTGGATCAGATCATATCTCAAAGATTTAATTCTTTCAGCAATTGTTTCTACAAAGTACATTGATTAATACTCTTATTCTTCTAATCTGTGTTCATATTATAAAACTCAAAAAAGCCAGAAAAGTGTTCATGTAAGCATATCTATTAATACTTTTTTTCTTGCTCTTGCAAAATATACTTGCTAAGGCTTTTTTATCTTCTAATTTAAGTTTATTAGAACATGAGTTAGCATGACATTTTTTTGTTGTTTTTTTACTTCAATTCAAAATATTAATATTAAGTATGCTCATTTCTAATTGGTCAACTTAAATACTGCGTCTCAAAAATTTAAATTCTTCCTAGACTCATTGACCCAACCAGGTTATGAGAACCAAAAAATTAACTTTGTCTAGCCTTATACTAATTAAATTATTAATGCAAAACTTTATAAAAAATTATATATTTTTTTTTGCAATTGATCGAACATGTAATAGACCTAGTTATGATTACATGTTTGGCAGTTAATTAGTAATTCAATTAGTGATATAAGCGTGAGCATTGTAATTATAGTAGTATTACAATTAATTAAGTATGTGATAATTGAGTAAGTATAAGGCAATAGTTTGGTAGTATATTAGTAACTATATATTATTAATTAGAATTATTTTTGTCTTTTCTGCAAACCCAACTTTTGTTCTGATTATATCGACCCACTCACTCTATCCCGAGGTTAGTCAGTTTTGTGGAATCTGGCTGGCTGAAATGGTTACTATACTAAGGAGTTGAGTTTTTTGTTTGTGGGATCTTTAGTTTCTAATATTAAAATTGTGACCTATTAAGATAATAGTTACATAGTTAGTTTGGCCTGTTAGAATGACAAACAATTCCTTGTGTAAATAATAAATGTAATTGTGACCTGTTGGAACAACAGTTACACAGTTTGGCCTGTAGGATAATAGCCAATAACTAACAAACACATGATTAATTGTTAATGTTAAAAGAAAAAGAAAGAAGGAGCCAGTTCAATGCTTAGTAAAGACTGCATAGTTACTTGATAGCAGAAGGGTTAATACCTGATTATGTTTTTTATAGTAGTATCCCAAAAATGAGAAGCAAAATAATAAAATTTGCACTATAGTCAATACAATGCAGAGAGTCAAAGGTGCTTTGCTACTTTGTGATAATTTAAAATCCAAATTTATTACAATGACTATATCTGCTAATAATTATTTATTCTGCTTTGCGAATTCTGCACAGATCCCACTAACAAAACCCTGACACTTTGGCTCAGTATCATGCAATAGTTTGTTTATTAGTAATTGTCTCTTGCTTTTATTGTCTTATTTATTATGTCATGTAATAAATAAGTTAATAAAAGGATGCGACAATTACCAATATACAAACTATTATACAACACTAACTTTAGCTTGGTGAAATAATGATAACAAAAAGACCTTTTAACCATAATCATTTAAATTTTCCAAGATTAATTGTTTATTTCTGCCCTATACAATTTGATATACTAGGGATGCATAGCAATAGTGTTATACCAATATAGAATTTTTATTCAAGTAAAAAATTACTCAAGGCAATGTACTATTAATGTAGTATATACGTACGTACTAAATAATATAAGATAATAGTTAAGTATCTACTTTATTAATTGTTTTCTATCTAATAAATTAAATTTTTATTTGAATATTAGGTATTAGTACAACCAATAGCAGTATTAGAATAGATTGTTTAGATGTAATATAAGGTAATTATAATTAATTAATTGATTAATTAATAAGCATATATTAATTTCTGCCCTGCACCTTGCTTACAATTACTGAAATTTTTACTTAAGGTTTTCAGTAGACAAAAATATAATATATATAAACAATGTAGACAGTAGTTAAATATCTGCTTGATACATATTAATTAAATAGAACTATAATTAGTTTAATTTAGAGATATTATCAGTATATTTATCCATAATAGTTTAAATATGCTAGTCAGGTTAAACTAATACATTCTTACTCATAAATTAATAATTAGTTTAGCTACTATTTAATAATCAATATATAACAATTAATAATTAATAAAATAAATTAATAATATTACTCTTATAAAAGTTATTTGTCTGTGAACCTGTTAATTGTACGATGGTTAACAAAATGAACAGATAAAATTTTCCTAATCAAAGATAGAAGTGCTACTTACAAATACCATCATGTAATTTAAACATTGTATTGCTCTATGGTAATATAGTATCTTAATCTTTTAAAAGTTATAAAAAGAGCTATTAAATTGTTAAGTAAAAAAAAAATCAAAAAAACTTAAACAAATAAACTTATCTTGATTTAACTCTAACATGTCTAATTATTATCCAACCTCTGAAGATGAGCTTGACCTTAATGATAATATCACTTTTGAAAAGAAGAAAGTTGATTCACCTAATGGTATAAAAAATGAGAAAAGTACAATTACCACCATATTGCTATTACAAGAAGTCTCATCAAATAGTGTAAATCATAGTAAGAATAAAACATTACCAGTATAGAATTTTATAAGCAAGCAAATAGAAGGCAATAAGGTTATTGCAAGATTGTATAAAAAATGTGAACAAAAATTTAGCCCAACAACAACTACTAGGATTTTAAATAACTATTTTAGCAATAAGTATGGTATAAAACTTACTTTAAAGAGAAATAGCTTAATCCAAAAACCCTATAGTAGAGGAGATACTCAATACAAGAAAGAATATAGGGCCTTTGCAATAGAAAGGGCCCAAACTCCCCAAAAATTAAAAATGAGTTTTTTCAAGATTCAAATAAAT